TGCTCGACGGATTTTTGGAATGAGGCTGCTCGATCGGATTACGCTTTAAACGAAAAGGAGCAAAAATAAAATCTGCAGGAAGTGATCTCGCTTATCTATTCTTTTTCCGACGCGCGCCCCACGCCCCACGCCACGAAACTTGCCAAGATCAAGTCTATGGGGAAATCGTAGTTGAATTTATTAAGCCAACGCGAGTAATTTCCCGCGAATAAATATTTAAATAACACGGACGGTTTATTCAATCCGGCCAATATCCAAGCGGGGCTTCAAACGCGGGACGGGTCTGTCGATAAATTTAATGTTAAACGATTAATTTCGCGTAACTCGACGCCGTTACTGATGGCGGCGGGCGTGCAATCTCGCACATTTAAGCACATAATTTTTTTCTCGCCGATTTTGCACGCGCGCGCCAAGAATGATGATGCCCGCTAAATTCGTTTAAAATTAACATAATTAAATTGCAGTTAACGTTGCGGCGGTGAAATTTTCAGCAACAAAATGTGATTAAAGCTTGTTTATTTAAATTTATATTCTCGGAGGGGAAATCCTCTTGTTAAACTAGAGAGGGAAGGGGACTGGTTATACGAATTCTCCGGGAGAAGCTTAACCCTCGTAGAAGGGTTAAAACAAGCGTCATCCTTTTCGCCGACCCTAATCTACCGGTTTAAAGTCCGTTGATCCACCTCACGGCAAGTTCGCCTAGCTGGCAGTCAAGGATTTACAGCGCGGAGAACCGATCGTCGAGGTGTGCATATACATGCATAAACCATCCTCACAACAAGGCTCTTGTTTCGCTGCGAATTGAAACGCGAAAAGCCGTTTATTTATGCAATTCACTATACACAATTGCTCACGCGTGTTATGGCCGTGTTATACGCGCCATGTAGAGACGGAAAAACCATTTGCGCAAACTCGGGAAAAAGATAAAACCGTTGAATTTTCCGATAGCTTGGTAAATAACGACGAGCAACGAAAAAAAGGAGAGAAATTAACACGACCACATTCGCGCGATATCTCAAATTTACGTCCGGCACGTTCCCGTTAAAGCCGACTTAATCACCGGCGTAGTTTTCGTAATTTTCTCTCAGGACCGCGCCGCGCCGCGCCGCCGTCCCGCGCCTGGAAATATAATTTTTCTGGCAAACACGTCGCCAATACCTGCTTCCCGATTGCCTTACCATTATGTCGATCGATTGCAGGCGCGAGGTCTGCAAATATAATTAAATCAATGAAATCGATCTATTAAATTGAATAATAAGAAATACCTAAATGCATATACGTGGGCTAGCGGCTAAAGTTACGTAATTAAAGTTAATTAAATTTAAATGAGTATGCAATCGTTCACGATATAAAGTGGAAATATGTATATGTATAAAGCTGTTAAATTATTACTAAATTAAATAATAACGATACTTGTCACGCACTCCGCGAGCTGGCGCGCTTCAATATGCACGGGACGCGCCGCTAAAGGGATATAAAACCAATTGGGCTGTTAAGCGGCTGCAAATGTTAAATAAACTCAACGCGAGGTGAATCAAGCCGCCTCTTCCGTACTTCCTCCACCCGTCCTCCCTACCGGAGGAGTCACACGACGTGACTAACAGTACAATAAGCCATCGATCTCCTCTCTTTCCCCATCGGACTCACTTTTTTTTCGGGGTAAACTCGTTCCGTCGGAACAATCGGATCGCCTCGAAACGATCGCCCATTCAAACAGCCCCCGACAACCTAGTCGGGGTGACGAAAAAGGAAAAAGGAAGGCAGGGTCGATGACGGAGAGGCAGCGCGGGAAAAAAAAAATCGAAGCACGAAGAGCATGAGAAGGGGGTGGGCCATCGGCACAGACACGTCGACTTTGTCGGAGTGTTGGAATCCCGCCCTCTTTTGGATGCCGCCGCGCCGGTGCGAAAATCTCCGGAACAAAAATACACTTTTCGTTGTTCCCCGGGAAATTAAATCCCTCTACGGAAACTAACGAACAAATCAACGCGATCGACATGGCCTGGAATCCTCCTTCCTTCTCTTTCCCTCTCTACCTCTCACTCTTTCTTACTCTCTTTCACTCTCTCTAGAGCGCTGCCAGCAAAACGCCGCGAAAGTCTTTTGGTTAATATACTAGGTACGGAGAATTTGCCATCGGCGTGTAAAAAAAATGTGACGACACATCTTCTTTTTTTTCAACTCGAGAAATTCTAATGAGAGTATCGAGATATTCGTAGCATTTAAATTATTTCAATTATTTTTTAATTATTTTGTTTTATTTTTGTCTGCAGGATCTTTTTGCGACCGAAGTTTTGGAAAGTGCAAATGGATGTAAAATAAAATTCATTAAACCCTTCATCTAACTTTCACATTTCAGCAAAATTTTTATTCCAAGTTTGAATAAAAATATTTAATACGGGAAATTAAAAAGTTAAAGCAAATAACGACAAGTATCCAAGTTTTACGTAAGAATTTTTTTATCTCTCATTCAAGACATCTCTAAATATTTCTTACTATTAACTTGAAGTTTTCCGTTGCATCTAATAGATATAAACTTTATGGAAGCCCGCAATATTATTTTAAATCTCCCGCCGTTAATTTATTAAATCAATCATCATCCAAAATGTAATCACTTTCTAATTAATGATTGGTAATTCAATCATGATCTATGATTAATTTCACCTCCTTTATTTCAATTATTTATCAATGATGGATTCATGAATACAGATTAATCATGAATATTGGTAATCGTAATTACGACTCGCTTTTATTACTCGATAATGATCGAATTTAACTGGTTATCCACACATCTCATCCAGCTTTTGCACCTTCCTTTTTTGGATCGTTTATCCTCTTTTGGATACCATTGCAAGAAGTAATTTCGCCGACACGATGGGGGCACGAAAGATTTTTCGACTCGAGAGTGCATAACCGAATTCCGCCCGATGCAACCTTCATTGATACAAGGTACGATTTTTTTCTCTTCGCGTCGATGGCCCATCCCGTCGACGCGGAGGCTCGGCGAGGCATCCCATTGGCCGCGTTCACTCTCTCGCCGTCACAACTGTATTTTTCATGCCTCCCTTCCCGCGCCTTCTTCTTCGTCTTTTTTTTATCGAAGTCCGCTTTCGAAACCCGTTATCGCCGCGGACGAGTATATGGGCGTCGAATATACGAACGACGACGCATCGAGTCGCGGCACCGCGTACCGATCGCCCCCATTAAACCCGTCGATTTTATCGGGAGCTCTTTCCCGTGCTTCCAGGTTGCGACGTCGCGATGAAGCATGTTAAAAAAAAAAATGAAAGAAAGAGGACAACGAGAGAGAGGGAGAGAGAGAGAGAGCGTCGGTAAGCCGAGACGACGGCGCGCGCGGACGCGCCGAAAAATACGCTCGTTAGCTCGTTATTCGTCGGCGAGAGAGACAGGTCGGTGATTTTATCGGGATTGCTTTTATAACGATGCAACTTTGCGCGGATCGGATGTATCCGGCGGAGGAAATAGCGGTGAAATTTGCGATGCAAATGCCACATTAAGCGACGGGAGAGTCGGCGTAAAAAGCTGAGACCTGCGCCTGAGCGTACAACGAGATAAATGCGTATTTTTACATGCTGGCGAATATATTTTACTTCACATGGCGATGATTAATTCTGATAGAATATGGGAATATTCACCAGGCGACTCTACTTGTTATCATTATGCAGTGTCATCCAACAAGTAGGTCCGTGTAGAGAAAAAGAGGGACAGAGAGAACGGTGGGGAAGGGAAGAGAAAGTACCTTTTTGAAAACGAAAAAAAATGAGAGAGTCTAAAAACTACACCGAGTAAAGTATAGAAATCAAAAATATGACACGATAAATCACATAACCCATGTAGCTTTGAAAATCACACGCAGCGATATTTTTATTATGATGTACTACGGACGTTAGTTTACGAACTGAGAGAGAGCTAACTTTGTACGTTTATATCAGCCGCTGTATATTTGCAAAGAAAATATCAAAATAACAAAACTGAGATATTTAAGATAAAATTAATTACATAAACAAAATAAAGCTATTTTTACTCGAAAATTTTTATATTTTAAGTTAAGCTAAAGATAAGCTAAAGCTAAGCGAAAGGATGCCGACAGTGTTTTATCCGTTAAAATATTTAATTTTTATCCCTAAATCGCTATTTCAATATATCGGGAAAAGGATCGATTAATTCGCGATAGCGAATCCTCTTCCACGTGTGACATAATATATGAAATCCATTTCCACCGAGGAGACGATACGAAAATAGCTGTCCATGATAGCGTGATTTCTTCAATGGGTGAAATCGACCGGGCGGCTTGCCTAACGAGATCCCACCGACTTCTCTAAGAAACGCGCGACTCGCGAGGCGAATCCGTTCCGCCTCGCGTATGTCGACACGATCGACGAACTCGAAAGCTTGCGATATGCGCATTGGTAAAATGACATTCATGTATTATACCGGAAGTATAAATTTGTCGGCGAATCGTATGAAAGTTAGAGAAGACTCTCGAGCCACAAAGCGACTTTGTCGCATCTCGATCCTTTGACTCTGACACTGGCAACTTTCTAATTTGCCCATTGGATCGTTTAAGTTATTTCGTTTAATTTTCTCATTATTTTCAGCGAGGATTTTATAATTTCAGAATGATAAATCTCTATAATTCTCTCTCTCTTTTTTTTTCTTTCTCTCTGTAAGTTAGTCTGTCCGAGAGAGTTCGCGAGAATGTCTAATAGCTCAGTTCCTTTCTTCCTCATTTCTTCATCTTCCGCGAAGTAAACGGTGGCCCGACGAAAGTCGCATAAAATAAAATATAGCAGCATCCGGTCGTATATTCCGTCGTGCATGTATTCATCGAAGGCGGGAAAAAAATGTGGCACCTCTCGCTCGCGTACGTCACGTACCTTTCCCCTTCCAGCCGACGGTACTCGGCAGCCGGAGAGTAGGCACCTCTTCGGAATGCCGGTATATATCACGTTGTCGTACGCCGCGAACACTTTAGTGTTTATCGGGAGGAAAGGGGAGGAAAGGCCCCCGTATACAGGCGAGGTATACGTGCCTCTCTTGGATCTTTTGAATCAGTGTGCCGCGCGATTTCACGGTGAGAGGACCGTGGCCAAGAAGGAGCACACGAGAGAACACACGGAGTCTTCCTCGCAGCAGGTCGCCCCGCTGCACGCACGCACGCATACACACGACATCCATCGTCGCCGCGATCGACTCCCTTTCCTAGGTCGTCGATCGATACCCTCCCCTCCCCCCGCGCGTCTCACTCTTTCGCCCGCGTCCGAGATCAAACGTTGCGATCTTGAACAACCGGCCCCGAGGTTTCGGCATGGCTATGGCAATCAAGGTGAGTGACGAACGTGCGCAACAGGTTGATGCACTCTCTCTCGCGCGCGCGGTACGCACACCCTACATGTATATACATATACAAACATATATATGTATATATATGTATACATACACGGCTGGTGATTTAAAGTTTCGGGGGAGAGAACACTCTCCGGGGAGAGCGACTCGCCCTCGCGCGCACGCGAACCCGGGCGTTTAGGGGTGAGCGCGGTTCATGTGTTTTGGTATGCGCGCGAGGAAAATTCTCGCCCCGGCACTCGGCAGAACCCCCGGCAGCGCCCCTCCGAGAAGCTTATTCATCGGACGTTCGGGATACGGCACGAGCTACTTAGGATCCTCCTCGCGAACTCTCGCTCGGTGTCGTACATTTACGACAGGAGTATTCGAGGATAGGGGAGGAGGGTCTACCGTCGCTTCCGGACGATTTATTTTTATTGTAATGCATTTTACCTCGCAACGAAGGGCTACTCGGAGACGAATAAATTCACGTCAAAAAATGCGCCGCTTTGCATAATTGTATATTTGCTCGGAATGTCTCGGAAACTGCGCGGCCCACCCACAAAGCATATCTGCGACGCCAGGAAAAAAGTCAAGTCCAGAATTATTGGTCGCAATATATTTATTTGTTGAAAAAGAGACAGGCTTTATAAATTACAGAAAAGGAGAACGTGGTGCCGTGTGATTAAAGTTTCGTAAATATTGTATGAAAAACAATATGGTAATGAAGAGAAGTAAACATCAAAATAATGAGGTAACACAAATCGCGTAATATTAATAATAATGATTTGTTTCATCCTATATGTGCGGTAATGTTTGGCGCGCATTTTCGCGAATCTTGCTTTTTCCGAAACAAAAGAGCAGAACAAATTTTTGGCCGCAATTCTCTACTACAGATATTCTATTTAGACGAGGCAAATATTGGAAGCCGATAAAGATGTATTTTACACGCTACATTGACGAGTTTGGAATGAAATAATGTTTGCTAGACATGTATGCAAAGGCTCGGATTAATGCACCATTAGATTAAACCAATAATGTTCCATTGTTACGTGCCTTTGTACGGCTAAACGATCGTACGATGCAAAATAATTGCATCTTGCGCGGGAAAATACTGTAACGCGCGTTTTAAAATTGCTTTGTTTTACAGAGCGTAGCACGGTTGTTCGTGCTACTCGTACACGTCGCGCCGGCAACACGAAAATGCATAAAATAACAGAAACAAAAATCGAAATGTCGTATTAAAACCTTTCTACGGTTAATGAGACAGACGCATGTAATTATGTATTCTTCTCGACTTGCTAAAATATGACGGAGTATTGACTCTCGTCGAAATTAGATCGTCATCATTCTTGCGTGTCTCTCGATTTAAAATGGTGTGCCAATAATTCTGAAAATTTTTTAAATTAATTATATACCTTGTGGTGTCTTGATTGGTTCAATTTTTGCGACTGTGAAAAAGACTGATACCGAGAAAAAGTTAGGGTTGCTAAGCAGAACGTTAATAATGTTATTTTTCATTCTGTACAGGAATATCAATATATTCCTATGTACAAAAATCCATAGTATTTTGAAAATGACTTATGTATGCCTCAACCTTAGTGACGATAGCTGCTATAATATGGATGTTACAACCGTAATGATTATTTCTAGAAATTGTTCCTACAACTATAATTATATACATTATCCTAACTTAAACTAATTGCATTTACAATTTTTATCTGTATTAAAACCATATATTATATAGAAGTAGCTCCTTAGCATTGATAAGACATTTGTAAGAATTTGAAAGTGTATTCGTTGGATATTGATAAAATTCAATTTAGAAAAGTGCACTTCTCAGTCGATTATCACAGTTGATCTTCATTGCCTTCTTACCACTTACTCTAACAGCGAGCTATCTAAGACAAGAGCGTAAATCTTAGGTGATTCGTAACTATAAAATTAACTAGCAGCAAAAGGAAGTAATTTTTACCGTTTTGTAAACGATATTAAAGTGACAGCTATAATAATGTCAATACTTTAAATTCACGTTCTTTTTCAAACACAGAAAATATTGTTGTAATAACCATAACAATTTTTTCCGTGTATAATAAAGTTAAATAAATGAAACATATTTTGTTATATATACATAGTATAAAAAATCATAAAATATATTTTTTTACAATATAAAAGACTGAAAAATTTTGATTATTTTGAGATAAAATATGTTTATCGAATCGCATGAAGACTAAATAATCGACGTATATATAATACGCTCGCAAGAAGTGGCCAGAATCGAATCTTACGAAAAAGAGAAACGGCGATTCCTCCCGTAATAAAATCGAATTATCGAATTTCCGCACGTAGCATCGACGACTGTATGTGCGACGCGATTGGCAACGGCTTATCGACAATGCGATAACATTATAATTCATACGTATCGCAATCGTATACTTATGCAAAAGGTGTCGAAACATCGCCCGACCAGAATTACAATCGCGAAGAAGATTGTTCAACGATTTTGTAATCTTCAGTGCAATCATATCGTGGTTTAAAGACACATTTGAGCGACGAATAAATGGATAAATGTTAAAATGTTTCGATGCGCTAGAACATTATCTTCAAATTTATTTGTAATAAAATATGAAAACCAAAGTAGCAATAATTGCGTTAGTTTTAATTCCTGCATTTCATGAAATTGCGAGATATGTGATATAAATGATGAGTAGAAAATAAATCAGTATTAAATTTGCATAATATTTAATACATTTCTTCATAATTTATTCCAATCTATGAATTGGAGACTTTTTGTTAAAAAAATATATATATGTATTTCGCATTACAAGTAGATTGAAGGATAAGATGTTAATATAAATACACTAATATTTCGTTCGACGATTACGGTTTCGCTCGACAATCATTAATTTACAATCTACTATTAATTTTATCCTCCACAATTCATTCGCCCCGCGCGAATATTGTATACTCGAAAGAGCGCAAGCTGTGTTATTTATCGGTAATATTATTATTTACACCGATATCAAACGAAGAAGACACGGGCGACCGGCGACAATCTCGCCTAGTATATCTCGATTACCGCCAAGCAACAGTAAATTAGTTTGATAACCGTAAATTAACGCGGTGCGCAAATAATGGCGTCGCCGACGTGGGGGGGGGGCGGACGGGGAGCGTCGCTAAATTATTATTTATCGAACGGCGACGCCGATATCGGTCGTATAACTTGCAGGACTGCTTCCGCTGATATATCTCTAGTTACCATTCACCGACGCGGCGACGGGAGTACTCACCATCCGCGGTGTGGACGCGGATTATTAATTTTATTACCGCGCGCGAGTTGCTGCCACCGCCGCCGCCGCCTCCGCCACGCGTGCCCGTGACGACGCGATGCGTAGAGTAAATCATCGTAATCGGCGGGAGAGTGCGGAGCGAAAGTGTCGCGTCGATAACTGCACGTAATTATTGCTGCATACGGGCGTGGGCAATGAACGTAATTAATACTATACCAACATAGCGGTTCCGCGACGCATCCTGTCGTATGCTTACGGCGCATTATCAGCCGTTACATTCAATGCGAGCGTAATTAACGGCCCGTATGCGGATCGCCGTATGTACAACGGCCGGAGAGAGAGAGAGAGAGAGAAAGGAAAGACAGAGAGAGTGAGCGGTATGGCGCGCGGCACTCGTTGTACGAAACATTCCGACGCGCACATAGCGCGCGAGGAGGACCGGTATTAGCACGACGTGCCGGCGGATAAAATCTATATATCGACGCCAATTTGCCATTCAGAACGGGCAATAATTCTTATAATCCACACCGATTTGCGGAAGTAAGCGGTTTTGCGCGAGCGCGCGCCCGCTCCATCGAATCCACAAATCACTCCCCGCGTTATATATATACCCGTATATATATAGATATACGTGGCGCGGGCTCCGTGATTTACGGATTCCGTCGCGATTATTAGGATTCTGCCACAAAAGTCGAAATTCCAGATTCCGCGCCTCCGCCGGGAAATCAGACGGACGGAGGCGGCGGGCGTGCTAAGTGCGACTTGAAATGCGAAACGTAATTACGCCGTGATTAAGCCGCATTTGGAACGTGAGACTTGGTGCTACATGAGACATGCAACATTTTTAATAAATGTAAAATTTCACGATTAACTTTAACGACCAATTATCCCGTGAAAATTTTCAATTGAAACAAAACTGAGGAATTTTATACGGTGTGTGAGTTCTTATTGAATTACTCGAGTTAGTCACCATGAAGATTATCGCGATCGGCAACGAGATAATTTGGTATATTCGTCTCGAGTATATTTTCCAGAGTACCTATAGCTTTGTAACGAAGAAAAAGCATAAAAAAAATTCACCGTAAACCCGACTATACGCGCGTACGCAAAAAACCGCGCAGGCAAGAAGGAAAATCGACGATCGTAGAGCCCGAGGATATTCGAAATCCAGGCCGGAGAAAGCAGTGAAAGGGCGGCGGGATTAAAAATTCAAATTATAACGCCGCGCGTAGTGGAGGAACGGAAAAAAAAAACGAAGGATAAAACAAAAGTGTACTTACGCGGCGAAATCATACGTTTCTCGATCACGGGCGCGGATAGCTCGGGCTTCCAAACGGGTTTACTCGCGAAGCGATATGCAAAAGAGGGGCCTCGATCAACGCGAATACGTTAACACAAAGGATGTCAAAGGAATCCAATAAACAGCGCGCGAAGGAATTCGATTGCCTACGGGTTCAGGTATATTACGGGCTCGTAATAATCTAGAAATACGCTCCTACGTCGAAGCTATCGTGTCGGATAATCAACGCGTCTCCATAAACTCATTCGATTAACGGCTGCGCGAAGCAACGTGATGAATACAGCATATGCACACAGACACACGTATGCATACACTGTACTTTTTCGATTGGCGCACAAATCCAAAAGAGTCAATTGACCCATATCCTATTTCGAGGTATAAAAACTATCACCATCGGCGGGACCGTCATCGAGCAGCGGTGTGTCGATCACTTTCATATACGTACAGCTCAAAACAGGATATCACATTTTTCAGATGCCCGTATGTCACGTAGTGCATATTTGATATTTTGAAAATTTTATAAGTGGTTATCCTGTATTCAGCGTCGGCTCTTCATATCCAGTAAATAACTTCTAAAATAAATATGTGGTTTATATAAAGTACTTAAGTAGTTTTTAGCCGTACGTATTTGCGCGGTCGCGAGTCCAGGGAATTCCCCTTAATCCGAGCGAGTGCGGAATAATTGTATCATTCCGCGAGATAACGCAAATACCTACGAAATTAGCGGACACTCGTTAGCGCGACCGCTGAATCTTTCAAGAAGCATTCTTAATGAGAGAGAGAGAGAGAGAGAGAGAGAGAGAGAGAGAGAAAGAGAGAGATCGCGGCGAACGTGTTGCGGTACCAAGCGCGATACCGAGCGCGCGAGGAGAAAATTCACCTTCCGAATTAGAATGAGTGAGTTTATGAAAAAAAGAAGAATCGTCGTGGCGACAAGGAGGTAATTTAAAAGCGGCGACCTTAGTTAAGCCCGGACGACGACGACGACGACGACGACAACGACGACGACGACGATGACGACGACGATGCGCGACGCGACGCGATGCGACGCGACGCAACGCGAGTGGAGAGAGAAGAACGAGCAAACAGAGATTGGAAGCTACTCGCATACCCGCCGTCGTATAGCAGTGGTACGACGGTGGGTTGCTGCTTGTTTAGCCGTGTTAGCTTTGGCGTGCGCGCCGCCTCGCCTGCAGGGCCAGCCCTACCTTATCCGCTTTCGTTACCGCATGACAGACGTGCTTCCGCCCTTATTGTCGGACGGCCGCGCAGCTAATTTCGCCCCGTGCAGGGTGTATCTACGCGCGCACGCGCCCGCGCGCCCCGAAGCTCCCTGTGTATCCCGGTGTCCCTCCAAAGCTGGAACCCGTTTACCATAATACTTGCAGATGGTGTAATCACGTTAAGCACCGTCGTCGGGATATCGCCCGCCGCTGCGCCGGAGTTAATAATAAGTTTAACGTTGCGCCGCGCGCGGCTCGCCGCAACTCCGCGCCGCGCCGCGTATAAAACAAACTCTCTCTTTTTTACACCCCGCGGTGTTTCGCCGTTACGGTGGAAATCCGACGGGGCAATAAAGTCGCGGGACTATCCCGGACTGTCGTGAAACATGTTGGAAAAATCTGGGAAACGTGCCGGCGTTCGTTTAGCCACCGGTACCAAGGTTCGGTAACAATAATCGACGCCACTGTTGTGAGCCACGTATTTGCATACACGTGTATATAATTATGTTGCAGATCCTCGTCCTGGTCTGCGCCCTGCTCGCCGCAGCGATGGCCGCCGAGTCGCCCGCGCCGGACGGCGAGGTGCAGCAAACCGGCAGATCGCGGGTCTCCGACGAACAACTGAATATGGCCCTGAGCGACAAACGCTACTTGAACAGACAGCTTAAGTGCGCCCTGGGAGAGGCGCCGTGCGACCCCGTCGGACGTCGTCTGAAAAGTACGAACTAGATCGTCCCATCTCGCGCCTCACGATTATCCCCCGAACGAGAATAAAATTCCAATTCCTCTTTGATATCGCGACCCTGACGCCGAAAAAAAAAGACAATCGACTTTTACGGTACTTTGCGAGAAAGAGCCCAGGGGGATACGTTTCTCGGTGTTTTCAGAGTAAATTTGCGATATTTATCGTATCGGAATTGTACAAGACAAAGTTTACGGCTGGTGTAATTTCCATGTAATTTCGGCGAGTTCAATTTCCACTCTGAGAGATACGGCGAACAAGAACGTCACGCTAATTGTCGCGTCTCCGTCGTCGCAGAGTAAACATAGGGGTCGAACGTTTTCGTATAACGTCTGTGTGTAAGTGGAAACCTGAGCCCGGGCGGTGATCGCGCCAGTCTCAATCCTTTATCGAAAGAGCTAAATATTGAGCACAACCACTCACCGTTCAAACTTGCATCGCACACACACGGGACGCTTTATTCGCCGTCGAGGCGGACCCTCCCCATTTTTCCGTCCTTATTTTTCGAGCAGCGCGCACAGCGACGCTCGCCTCATAAAAGGTTAAAATTAGCATCAGGGATTCCGGGACAGACTGTATACACTCGCGGAAATGTTAAACATCAAATACCATTATATCTTGCGATAATATTGTGCACACACACATGAATCTCAAGAGGCGAGCCCAGTGTGCACATAAGCTTACGTACCACTATAAAACTCGACCCGAAAATTTCTGTTGAAATCCTACGTCGTTATTTTATCCAGGTTTAGTGCCGCTGGTTCTGAGAGGCTCCTGCCCGCAATGCACCCCCGAGGAGACACGTCAGATCAAGAAGGTCCTTTCTCACATTCAGCGATCCTTCCCGAAGGAGTGGAACAGGATAGTGCAACAATACGCCGGAGTTCCATAAACGAGATATGATATAAGCGCGCCGGCCACGACGAGGCTGGATGTACAGAATATAGTAACAAAGGCTACAACAATGGATCATCCACGGGGAAACACATCCACGTCCGATCGCATTCGTTTATTTAATAATATTGTTAATGATAGCACGAGGGAGAAGCGTAGCTCAGCCGAGAGGTATATTTAGAATTTTGAGGCACATACGTATAGAAACATTCAGTTTTAACGAAGATTTTATCCTGTATTACGTATCTACATATTGTTTATAAAATGCTGTACATGTATAAAATTCTATTCGCACGTTCGATATATTTCATTTTAATAAAGTTACTGTTTTGTCGTTTTTAATTTAAACTCGCGCGTATCTTTACTCGCGGCGAAGCGTGTCGCCCGTCGTTTCATTAAAACACAGCGCGTCTCGCCACTGCCACGTCCCATCTTTTGCCTCTTTATTTCGCGGTATTTCAAGCTTCACCTTCTGTCCCGGGTCGCACGAAGCGCGACGTGCCGGCGACGACACGACGCACGTTTACACGCGTTCGTTACACTAAAGCGTGATTCGCATTCGCGATGTATAATAGCGATTAGGGATATTGGCATTAACCCGGCGCCGCGCGTGATCCATGAGAATGGGTCGCGCTACACGCGTTGTTATTAGGGCTTATAAGTATTCCGGGTCTTCGCAAGGACCTCCCCCCCCCGCTCCATTGGATGTTTGACCAGGTTTATCGAGTATTAATGACGATCAACAAGTTGCTAATTTATTTGGCACATAATTAACACTATATCTCCGCTGCCTGCTATTCAGCCGCCGTGATTGCGCCCTGATTCGGATTTCGCTTACCCTTGCTGTGAATATTAATTCTACTGTGTCTCGGTGTCAAAGCCCTTGTGTGCATGCTAATTTAAGTTCGCCTTGTACGCCAGTGCCTGGCTGTGAAAAGGGGCTGACTAATTAAACTTTGTAAACACCGATAAAAGTAGTGCGAGTATAGCGGCGGCAATAATATCGTCGCCTAGACGTACGAAAAGACGCGTCTCATTATTTGCTGCATCGCGGGAGAACTATTTGAGGAAACCTCAAGGAACCCTTTTAGCCATTAGTACGCCGGCAAATCGGGACACGTCCACTTAATCAATTTGCAATAATTTCAGCATGGAATGAGTCTATCTTGATCTATTTTTAGACATGCCATTTCGGAGCACGCAGAAGAAATAAAACGTTCAAACCCTTAGATTATCAAGTACGTTACATTCGCAATATAAAAGTCGACACGGTCGTTCGCGCAGTTGATACGGGCAGACTATTATCAGATATCCAGAAACGTTACTTTACGATACGTAAATATCCGATTGGTTGCCAATATTTTCAGCCGACGATTTCTCGACGAGAACGACTATTCAGTTTTTTTGAACAATTGAAACCCGTCTCTCGGTCTCTCGTCCCTTGCAAAAATCGTGGCGAAGGACGTGAGCGTGATGTGCACAATTGCGCGTTGTCCTAAAGCGGCAGACAAATTTATTGCGTCACCTCGCAAGTTGCGAATCCTTCAACGACACTCGCACGTCGTCGCGTCTGACTATTTATCGACCACGTGTACCCAGCCGTTCAAACTGGTTTTCGATGATGCTTCCCCGAGAGAAGCGGAGATCTCGACAATTCAGGAAATCCGATTTGCCACTCCGTCTATCCTCGCAAAATTCAAAATTGAAGTCTACGTAGAAATAGGCGAAGAAAGACGCTGACAATTCCCGCATGTACGACGTTCCCGTGTACAGTGTGCCTCCAAAACGCTTGGACAAACTTTGTAAATGTAATCTTCAAACAATTTGTCGCTTATTTTGCCCTTATCAAAAATACCAATGTGTTTGGAGTGGTTGAAAACGGTTAGGTTTGAAAAATGAAAAGTTTGTCGTGACGCTAGATTTCAATGATGGACGTGTATAACTGTATCGAAATCCTATATCCAATTTCGAGTTTATTTTAACAGAATTCATGTCAAATATTAAGTGCGATTGGCAACTCAGTTTGCCAGAGTATTTAATATTTAAAGTTAATAAAGTGAAATGATAGCCCAAATCAAATTTCCGCCCAGGAAAAATCGGCGCCAACTTGATCAAGGGAGGAACATCGAGCAAAGCTCGCGCGCGCCCGAGTATTTCAGCAACATCCTGTATAAAGTGCGGAACGCGAGACAAGATTCGACTCACGTAATGCTTGTGCATTTTGCATCAGTGCGACGCGATACAATTTAAACAGTCTCGTCTCGCGAGCTGCAGTATGAAGCTGGGCGCACCGATTAAAATCGACCTCAGAGAGGTCGCATCGATACGATCACAGTCACGGATCAAAGTTCCCTTCCCCCCCCCCCCTCGATCAATAGATATTTAATCGCTGGATAATTAATCCCCCTCGGTCGACCGGTGATTTCTCCTTATACACGGGGCCCCGGAATGTCGGTCTCGCCGACGACAAGAAGTCGAAGTTACCTCCGCCCCCTTGGCAAACATTTGTTCTTCTTGATTGATACGTGATAATACACTTTCATTCGGGAGGGACAAATATTGAATCCCGTCGAAGAAACGCGGCCCGGGAGACAGTGTATTTGCGCACCTCGTGTACGTGTCTCGCTCGATGATATTGTACATACGTGTGTTTTATGTATTTGCACAATCCTCTACAATTTCATTGCTCATCCGCGATCGAGATGTATTTATATCCGGAAGCTTAAAAATTTTCCAACTCCGCTGAGGGCCGAAAAGAAAGGCGGGTCGGAAAAATCGCTCGTTACACCCGAACGCGGCGAGCCGTAAATAAAAGAAAAAGAAAAAGAAGACACATCCGACGTACTTTAATTACTTTTAATTGCTCTGAACAAGTGCAACAATACACGCGTTCCTAATTAAAATTAAATCGGGTGGATACTGCTGCAGCAGTGAAAATCGCTCGACTCGGATTCGACGGAACTCGATTAATTCGAGTGCTCGGGCTCCACTCGATTAGCGAAAATAAAATAAATAACGACGTGATCGATAGGAAAAATTTTTCGTAGTTCTCCTAATTGTTAATTAGCAGCACAATTATTACCGTACGATACAATTCGTGCATAGCCACGCGCGCAAATATCGCGGTAATTTTGTCACATCTTGCCTCGTTTCCTCTTGACACACATGGCGAACTAAGGGCAATATGTAACCCCCGACGGTGAGCCACGCCAGTGCGCCGCACAAGCGATTTTCCGAAACGACGGTATCACGGCCTCGGGAAAGCGGCGTTATATAGCCATAAGATTATTCCGGCGTCGGGCAGATTCCCGTGGTCGTTCGATCGCGGGACCGCCGCCTTATAATTCGTTATACGAGCGTGGTAAAACGGCTATACCCTCTCGCCGGCTCCTATACCGCCGTCCTTCTCGCGACCGCCGTAACCACCACCGCCGCCGCCACCGCCGTCGTCATCGTCGTCGTCGCCGCCGCCGCAAATCCACGACGTCGTTAAAACGACCAGCCTTCAACGTCGCCTGAAAGTTCCCTCGGCGCGCTGCTCATCCTGGGGGATCATCATTTCCACCCTTTATCGACCGCCGTACAAAAGGCAACTCGTTTTGCCCGATGGAAAACAGATAAAAAGGTCCCTCTCTCTTTTATATATATAGATATATAGATATATATATACTATACTCATCGAAGGGGAGTGCGCGCCTCGCCTACGTACGAAGTGCTGAGAGAGTCTACCGAGAGAGCTTGAAGAGAGTGGGGAAAAAAACTTCCGAAGGAAAGTTTTCAACGAGAAGGAGACTTCGTTGAACGGTACGAAGAGCCGGGCGAGAGTGATTTCTTTGGTTCGCCGCTCGAACTTCGCATTTTTGCAGCAGTCGCCCCCGCGCGTCGAGATTCTCGCGGTGTTCAAGTGCGCGATTAATATTTTAATGCGGCTCCTCTCCTCGCCGAGGCAGAAATTGCTACCCCGCTTAAGGGAATTATCCGTGAAACGTTTACCTTATTTCGCTTATTTCGCTTCACGCGTTCGCTCTCCGCCCGGACGTTAAGTATCTTGACATTCAAACAAAGTCTTGAAATTAAATTTCCAGTCAAGCAACGCCCGATTAAAATTTACGAGAAATATTGCGAAAAACGAATGGGTTTTTTTTTAGTTCTCCGTTTTTTACATCCTCCAAATTAAATTCAGTTCAAACGTTTACTAATTATCGATGTTAATTAACACGTAGTTGTTGCTGTTGAAGTAAACTTCTACTTCCTAGTGATCTTTTTGTCTCGCTCGCTCTCTCTCTCTCTCTCTCTCTCTCTCTCTGCCAAGTAGAACTAATCCCGTCCTTTCAAAAGCCGCTTCCTAAAGAGGCGCGAGATTGACTGTTGGTTCTCCCGCGGGCTCGCGGGGCATTTAGCGTGCGAGAGACACAAGAGCGGCGCCATCGCTTTAATTACGTTTGAGAGCACAACGGGGCGACCGGCGACGCGACGCGACGCGAAAACGCGAAACGGGATTACGGTACGCGACGTTAACGGCGCTTAAACACACGAGAGGAATCTCCGGCCGGTGCTCTCGCGCCTGTGCATCCAATACGCCGCGCCGCCGGCAATTCTTGGCGTGGCACAATGCATGAATGTGAGAGCCGCGCGCGAGACTCGTGAATGACCCGGACTCGAGAGGGACCTCTCTCGCTCCCCTGCCTCTCGACACATGCACGCACACGATGCATTCCTCTCTCGCATGCACCGCGCGCGAACTGTACTGCCGCGCCGGTCTCCGCATAGATGTTCCCGTGCGGCCCGTGCCGACACGTGGCGGCGGAGAGAGAGAGAGAGAGAGAGAGAAAGCCCGAGAACCCAACGACGGGACGAGAAGGGGCGACGAGAGAGAAACGAGCGAGGAATTGCTGTGGCTCGAAAAGGCTTTAATGAAAGTTGCCTGTTGCTTGCACAAATCGCCACGTCAACGGAGAAAATCTCTATCCCACCGTCCCGGCCTATCCCTTCCCCCCTTGTTCTCTTTTCCGAGACGTACATACGCTCTTTCATGTGGCGGACTGGTGCTAATGGTCCTGCGAGTTTATCTGCTCTTATTAGAGGTGAAGAGTTCACCGTAAAAAAAGGCGTATGATTAATGGTGGCATGCGAGAAACAGGCATAAAAATTTAACTCCTCCATTGTTGAAAGAAACGCCGCGCAAAACGCGTATATAAATGAAATCTAAAAACATAATTCGAGGATAAAAGAAAGAATAGCTGCTTTCCTGTATGATTAATGCTCCCGTATGGCGTTTTCTTTTTTCTTTTTCGTGTGGAACTCGCAATTATGAATATCTCG